TCCCTCTCTCACTGTCTCTCTCTCTGTCAAATAAATAAAATCCTTAAAAAAAAAAAAAAAAATTAAAAAAAAAATTAGGTTATTTGCTTTTTGAATTGTAGGGGTTCTATGTATTCTACATACTTATCAGATACATACCTTATCAGATATGATTTGCAAGTATTTTCTCCCATTCTGTGGGTTGTTTTTTCTAGTTTTGAGTTAAACAAAAAACTTCGAATTAAAAAAAAATGTTTGCTTCACTTGAATTGCAATTCTTCCCCTTTTAGTAATGTGTAGTTTAAAAATGAGTGATTATTTTACTCCAAGAGGTTTCTCTTTGGAGACCTGAATTTAAATTTTATTTCTGCTAATACCTAGCTCTAAGGTAGTAACTTGGACAAGTCATTTCATGATTCTCTTAGTTTTCATGCTTATAAGAAGGGAATAATGGCACCTACTTTATAAGGTTATGCATGAAAATGAGAGCCTGTATAAGTACTGAGCATAATGCCCACATAGTAGGCTCCGACAAAATGTGCTGATTGACAGACTTTAAAAGATCTTTAAAAAGCACTTTAAAAAAAAAGAAGTTACATTTCTAGATATGTGTGAAATACTAAGCATTGTATTCACTTTATAATGGTTATTAAAGAAAGAATAAGATACTTTGTACAAGATCAATTTGTATCTAAAAACATGTCATAGGGACACCTGGGTGGCTCAGTAGGTTAAGCGGCTGCCTTTGGCTCAGGTCATGATCTCAGGGTCCTGGGATCAAGTCCCGCATTGGGCTCCTTGCTCAGCGGGGAGCCTGCTTCTCCCTCTGCCTGCTGTTCCCCCTGCTTGTGCTCTCTCTCTCTGACAAATAAATAAATAAAAACATGTCATAATTTAGTAATCCTGATTGTGTGTCAGTTCTACCATTCTGCAAATCTGAGACAGAAGGTAGGCGTGCTATATTAAGGACACTATGTTATGTGATGCTTTCCAAATTTGTTTTCAAGTCCCATAATGGTCTTATAAGGAAGTACCGAGTCAATAATGTAATAATAGAATACGCTCAACCAACAAGAAAAATTGGGGAGATTGGTCAGTAAAGGTGTTTTTTTTTTTTTTTTTTAAGATTTTATTTATTTATTTGAGAGAGAGAGAATGAGAGAGAGCACATGAGAGGGGGGAGGGTCAGAGGGAGAAGCAGACTCCCTGCCGAGCAGGGAGCCTGATGCAGGACTCGATCCTGGGACTCCAGGATCATGACCTGAGCCGAAGGCAGTCGCTTAACCAACTGAGCCACCCAGGTGCCCGGTCAGTAAAGGTTTTTAAATGTGGTTCCTAAAGACACCTACCTGAGTATGCCTATTTTTTTTTTTAAGATTTTATTTATTTGTCAAAGAGAGAGAGAGAAAGAAAGAGAGCGCACAAGCAGGGGAAGTGGCAGGCAGAGGGAGAAGCAGGCTCCCTGCTGAGCAAGGAGCCCATTGCAGGACTTGCTCCTAGGACCCTGGGATCAAGACCTGAGCCGAAAGCAGACACTTACCGACTAAGCTACCCAGGTGTCCCTGTGTATACCTATTTCTTTCTATTTTTAAATTTTATTTATTTTTTAAGGTGGGGGAAGGGCAGGAGAGAAAGAGAGAGAATCTTAAGCAGGCTCCAAGCCTACTGCAGAACCAGACAGGGCTCAACTTCACAACCCTGAGATCATGACCTGAGCCAAAATCAAGAGTCAGACACTTAACCGACTGAGCCACCCAGGGGCCCCACCTGTTTCTTTTAATAAAGTCACTGTGGGAGCATGCCTGCGTGCACATGTGCATCTTCTCTCTCTCTCTCTCAAATAAATAAACCAATCTTTTTTTTCCTAAAGATTTTATTTGAGAAAGAGAGAGAGGGAACACAAACAGGGAGTGGGGGGCACAGGGAGAAGGAGACTCCCCTGCTCAGCAGGGAGCCTGACTCAGGGCTGGATCCCAGAACTCCGAGATCATGACCTAAGCTGAAGTCAGACGCTCAACAGACTGAGCCACCCAGGTGCTCCGGTCTTGCTATTTTTTCAACATGCTAGGTACACTCCTGCTTTGGGAGTTCTGCATGGCTTTCCTCAGATCTTCCCATGGCCTGCTCCCTCACCTTTTTCAAGTCTTTGCTGAAATGTCACTCTCAATGAGCCTTATCTTGACCACCTTATCATAAACTGCAAACTACCCATAGCACTCCCAATCCCCCTTACTCACTCTACTACTTTTTCCTAGCACAATCACTAGACAATTTACTAACTTGTGTTTATTGTTTATCTGGTCTTCTCCTTGCAAGAATATAAACTGAGTGAGGGATTTTTGTTTACTGATGCATCCCAAAGGCTAGGACAGAGTGGCACACGTGGGCATCACATAAATATTTGAGAATACAAACAAATTTAACAAGGTTCCTCGTATCCTAGAATGTGCTCACAATCTGGTTGAAAGTCAGCATATATACACTAAAAGATCAATATAAGATAATTAGCACGTGCTGACAAGTACCAAAAGAAGATACTGTTTTAGGATATTACACATGACAAATGAAAGCTCAGAGAAGTGCCACAGAAGCTTAGAGAGCTAATTAAAAAAAATTTTTTGTGCGTGTGGGGGTGCCTGGATGGCTCAGCTGGTTGGGTGTCTGACTCTTGAAAATCTGATGAAAGCTACACACTCCAGTGATACAATGAACATGTACACAGAAGTTTAATACTACTAGGAGTTCAAACACTCCCTGGAGCCAGCCATGAATACTGAATAGAGAATCCTTGGTTTCAAGTATGGTTTTTAGGCTTGGAAAGGCTTGATGAAGATGAGACTTAGCTAGTTCTTAAAGAACAGAGTATGAAGAGGAAAGGAGATGAAGGGCTTTCTAAGGAGATAAGGGTGCCAGCAGAACAGTTTGACTGTAATGAGGGATTTACGTAGTAAGTAAGAATAGGCTGTGAATTGCTTGATGTGACTTAAACAGTATGGTTATTGCAAGTCTTTGGATAAGAGAATGTAATGTCTAAGGCATTGTTGTTGTTTTTAAGATTTTATTTATTTATTTGACAGAGTGACAGAGAGAAAGAGAGAGCGTCAGCGAAAGCACAAGCAGGGGGAGCAGCCGGCAGAGGGAGAGGGGGAAGCAGGCTCCCCAAGACAGGGCTGGATCCCAGGACCCTGGGATCATGACCTGAGCTGAAGGAAGATGCTTAACCGACTGAGCCACCCAGGTGCCCCTCTAAGGCATTGTTTTAAGAAAATAAAATTTGGTAGTTGTTTACAGGAGGAAAGTTGAGAGAAAAACTAAAATCAAGGAAATCATCCACAAAGCCGCCATTATATAATGATTCAAGTCCGAGAAAATGGAAAAGAAAAGGGAACTAAGCAGGTTTGGAGATGGATGGCTGTGGGACGGCAGTCCACTCAGAAATGCCTGGCGTGACAGTGACAATTAGAAATGAACTGCATTTAGGTCAGTCCCTGTTATATAAATTTGGGGTATTATTTATTGAATCCTCGAGTGTGTGTGTGGGGGGGAACTACAAGAGAAAAACATACTAAGAATAGAGATTATTCAAAGGCTCTGAATGGGATAAAGGGGACAGCCTATTATTATTGTGATAATAAATATGTTGAATTTATATAGAATAAAACCTTAATAGAAAGCCTGAGGCATATGTGCTCTGGTAAGCGCTGTGAATTGTGCAAGACTGTTGAATCTCAGATCTGTACCTCTGAAACAAATAATGCAATATATGTTAAGGAAAAAAAAAGAAGAAGAAAAGGTAGCGGGAGGGGAAGAATGAAGCGGGGGAAATCGGAGGGGTGGACGAACCATGAGAGACGATGGACTCTGAAAAACAAACTGAGGGTTCTAGAGGGGAGGGGGTTGGGAGGATGGGTTAGCCTGGTGGTGGGTATTGAGGAGGGCACATTCTGCATGGAGCACTGGGTGTTATGCACAAACAATGAATCATGGAACACTTCATCTAGAACTAATGATGTAATGTATGGGGATTAACATAAGAATTAAAAAAATAAATAAATAAATAAAAAGAAAGCCTGAGGCATACAGGTATTATTAATTGAGGTTAATTGTGGTTAATTGAAGGCTAGTAAAATTTTTTGTCTTCATTTTTGCTTGCCGAGCTTTTTTTTTTCCTTTTCTCCAGAAAGTATTACGCTTTATTCCCCCTTGATAACCAGGGAACACAGCTGGATTATTTTTAGAGGATTCAGGATGTCACTATCCCTCAAGGTGATCATTATAAATACATATTTTCATTGTAAAATAACACAGAGAAAATTGGGATACCCGTGGCGACCACAGGACACATCCTGGCATTTTAAAAGACTTTGATATCTATTTGACTTTTGGAGAAAGGAGATAACATCAAAACAATTACAACCAAAAAATTCAGCTATTTAGGTGTCTAATAAGTAGGATCTTGCTCTGTTTTTTGTTTTTGTTTTTTTTTGCCACCATGAACAAAGTATACAAGCTGTTGGTGTCAGATGCATTATTATTACATCATTGGCAGTACCTACTTGCTTTGTAATAAGATGTTTGTGATTCAGCCTCCTCTACTGTAGAACTTAGCTCCATCTACTAATTTTGCGACCCTCCAGCTATGATTTGAATTTAAGGAAATAGTTAATTCTTGGTGTAACAAATGTTGGCTCCCCCCTCCCCCCGGAATTCCCCCAGAAAGTTTCTGTCGCTTTAGAAACGTTCTTATTCTAGTCAAAAACCCAGGTATAAAATAGTGCCTGTCCTTCCGTATCTAGATCTAGCAGTGAACGCACACAACTCTGCCTAGTGATCTCGCAGATCCTACTCAGCCTTTTTCTTTTTAATCAATGGCCTCTACTCGTCAAGCTATTGCGCAAGACCAGTGACGCCGGCTTCGATTGGGTCCCTGGTTCCGAAAGCCACTGCCTGACCCGACGCTTCCCCTCTTCTCTGAACACTTGAAGACAAACTTAAGAAACAGAAGTGCCAACACAACCTACTTTGCTCCACGTTGGCCAATGTTCTCCGCCGACAGGCGTCCAGAGCGCCGACTTCCAAAGACACGCGCTGTGGGTCCACACGCACCGCGCGCTCTCCCCCGGCCCCGCCTAAAGAACCGCCGCGAAGCGGGAAACTGAGGCCCCTCGGTACCTTCTCGGAAACCGGCTCCGGGAGGCGCTGCGGGGCTCCCCGACGGTCGCGCAGGTGGCCCGGGGCGGGCCTGCGGGAGGGGCTCCCCCAGCCTCGGGGCGCCCCGCGTCCTCCCGAAGGCAGAACGCCGGGGCTCCGGGGCTCGGCTCTCGGCACCCCACGTGCGGACCCTGCACGGGGGGGGGGCTGCCCTCTCCCTCCGCTCCCCGGGGTCCCGGGGCCCCTCAGGGCGGGGCCGAGGCACTTGAGGAGGCCGCTCGAGTTCACCTCTGCGCTCCCGACCACAGGCCTGCCGTGGCTTCGGCTTTCCGGCTCGGCCCCGGGGGTGGCGGGGAGGCGGAGGCGGCACAGCCAGCCCGACCCCCGGCCGGTGCCTTGCCCACCTGTCCGGCCAGGGGGCGGCCCCGAGGCCGCGCCAGGGGGAGGGGCATGCGGACGCCCAGCCGCGCGGAGCGCGCCAGGTGAGCACGCCTGCGCAGTCGGGCCGTAAACAAGCCCGCCCCTGCCCCTCGGCCGGCCTCCGCGGGGCCGACTCGCGAGTGGGAGGGGCCAGGAGGAAGAGGCGGGGGAGGGGGGAGAGAACAAGAGCCCGGGACGGCGCCTGCGCGGTGGGCGTGATCCGGGCACTTAGGGCAGGATGAACGCTGCTTTCCAAGATGGCGACGGAGGGAGGAGGGAAGGAGATGAACGAGATTAAGACCCAATTCACCACTCGGGAAGGTCTGTACAAGCTGCTGCCGCACTCGGAGTACAGCCGGCCCAACCGGGTGCCCTTCAACTCGCAGGGATCCAACCCCGTCCGCGTCTCCTTCGTAAACCTCAACGACCAGTCTGGCAACGGCGACCGCCTCTGCTTCAATGTGGGCCGGGAGCTCTACTTTTATATCTACAAGGGGGTCCGCAAGGTACCGACCCGGGCGTCGCTGGGGCCCGCCAGCGGCGTGGGCAGAGGCCGGGAGCAGGGCGGTGACAGTGGGGGCCAGGGTGACCGATAGGAGTGGCGGTCGCTCTTACTTTTGAGTGGGCCGGTAACTCCACTGGGGTGCTCCTGAGGAAGGGGGATTCGCGAGTGAGGAGGGTGGCGTTGCGAAGGGGTGGAGGCTGTGGGGAGGGACCGTGGGGTGCGGGGTTCCGTCGGGGAGGCCCCGGAACGGGCCGGCCGCCTTCTCTCTGGCAGGGTCCGTCAGGCTCTGATACGGCCAGGGAGCGGGCCTGCGAGTCCCCGGAAGAGGTGGGGTGGCCGTCTTGTCTGCTTAGACTGCCTCGCCTCCCGGGAGAGTTGGGAGTCTCGCTCCGGGTTAGGGAACAGGGGCGCGGGCGGCTTGGGAAGGTCTGTAAGGCGGAATCCGGGCTGGAGGCGGAGGACTTGAGACTAGGTCAGAAAGGACCTGCTCGGAACCGAGGGCTGCTCCACCGCACTGACACTTCCTAGGAGCCTCTCTTTCTGGTGTTAACACTTTCCCCAGAAACATCAGGAGGAAGGCTGTCACTTTCTCCGCCAGGGAACCTTCTCCTGAGAGATTGTTGAAGAGGGTCATCTTGGCCCTTATAGTATGGGAAAGACGGAGTACTACAGTTGGGAGGTCGAGATGACGTTTTCAGTGAACTAAGCTGGCTGGTTCATAGGGGTTCTGTGTGAGCGTGCCCAGATCATTCTTGTCCAACAAGTCAGACTATGTCCCAAACAGGGAGGCATAAGCCTTAAAAGCTACTTTACAAGAATCATTTTTCTTGTTGGCGGGCGACTTAACATTAATTCTGTGAAGCATATAATCATCCTTTAAAAATGCCTCTTCAAAAGAAGCAACTCATTAGAGCTTTTCCTTTATTGGCTATGTAACTATGTTCTCATTGAGAACTGCTTATTTTTGAGAAGTGTGGTCTTTGACTTGACTTTTGGAAGAGTGAGGAAATTGATGCGTCCCACTGCACCTAGGCATGGAAAAAGGTGGTAACATTAATTTATAAATGTTTGGTTAGTGTGAAAGCACATTGTACATACTGAAGAGTGAACATTCTCTAGGATGTAATATATCCAGAAGCAGTAAGTTTTTCGTTGGTTTCAAGAACTAGGGACATGACAGTCGTATCCAGAAGTAGCAAGCGGTCTCCTTTGTTCAAGGTGCATCTTTTTGGTTACTGTTTGTGATAAGCGCTCTATATTGTTTTTGCGGTATGCTGTTGTTACTGAAAGTAAATCGCTTGATTTCGTTTTTTCTTTTTTGTAATTGGGAAAGTGTGAGGTAGTTAGTAGTCTAGGAACTGAAGTTTTAGTCCTGCTCCCAACTTTTTTGCTGACTTGTTGGGTGACCTTGGATGAGTTCTTTAACTCCTGTTTGCTTCTCTTTAAAAAGAGAACATTGCAGTACTCAAGTTGTAATTTATAATATACTAACTCTGATGAACTTTAAAGCTTGAAACACTCGGTAGATGTAAAATATGGTTAAAATAAGCATTAAGAGTGTCAAACAGGAAGCTGCTATCTTGCCACTGTTCCTAGGACTGAAAGGATCAACTTTTTCTCTGGAAATAAGTTTAGAATTTTAAGTTACTAAAATTTATATAAAATTTTAAACGTGCCTAACAGCTGAATTTATCAGCAATTACTAGTGCCAACGTTACCCTTGCGGCCTTGGTTTGCATCATCAAAACAGGTCTCTTGCCTGGAAGTATCATAGTTGGGTTCTCTTAGTTGGGATGCTATTTGATGAAGGTGAAAAGTAGGAGAGCTTTTCAAGACCACACTCCAAAATTATTTTAAACAAGAAAAATCTTAAACATGTAGATTTGTCTTTGGCTACATAATTAATTTGAGCACTGTAACTTCTTTTGTAAAATTTCATTTGCATGCGGTAACATCTTACAGCATTGTATGGTGGACATTTTAGTTCTCTTCTAGCCATTGTAATTTTTTTTAAAAATTGTTTTCCGTGAATGAGTTTGCATGTATTTATTGTTATTTCTGAGTATAAGTGATTGTTTCTGAGACTGTCTTTTCTGATTTTAAAATGGAGCAGATAATTTTCCTTACTCAGAAAACCAAAATTTACTTTTTGGGATTAGGAGTTATAACTCTGTTCTTGACAGTTGGTCATTTTGACTGTTGTTACTCATTTTTTTTCATTGGGGCATACAAAGTTTTACAACAGTCATTTGGATCATTCAGAAGGTCTAATTTGGATGCATACATTCGACTTAAATCTGCCTGTAAAATAAGTAGAAAATAGGTCTTTGAGAAACTTAAATCATGAACTATGTGCTGCCATTCCTGAGAGGAAGTACGGAGTCATGGGGGAATGGAGTGGTTGAGGTAGTCTCAAATGTGAGGCAAGGAGTGGCCCTTTAAAAAGATGTGCAGGTCAGTGTCTAGAGCTAGAGGGGACCTTTGAGTTTTGCAGTCTCACCCTCGTGGAGAAAACCAAGGCTAGAGAAGGAGTGCAAACCTGTGTTACAGTTGTTTTTTTTTTTTTCTTCTCATGGTCAGGAAAATGAAGCAAGCTGAATCTAAAGAACTGTCATAGTGAGAAGGGACCGATCAAGCTTTTTGATCGCACGGATGCCATATCCTCCAACCATTTCAAGATCTGCCCCAGCATTTTGCCATATATTTTCTCATCGAATCTTGATAGCAATCCTGTGAGGTACAAGAAAGCATCTTCTTTTCACAGTTGAAGTTCGGAATGGAGTTTCTTGTGTAAGGAAATGTAGTTTTATGAATTTATTTTGCTTAACTGCAGATAATGTGAGCATTGATTTAACACTGACACTAATCATTTCAGCCAAGATTTTAGTGACTACAATGGTGATAATTATACCAGGTGGGGTATCCACAGTAGAGTATGACCCTATCCTTCTCTCCAAAGAAATATCAATTCCTAGCCTTTAAGCCTTTTTTTTTTTTTTGAAGGTTTTATTTGTTTGAGAGAGAAAGAGCAAGAGAGCACAAGCAGGGGGGTGCGGCAGAGGGAGAGGGAGAAGCAGACTCCCCACTGAGCAGGGAGCCAGACGTGGGGCTCCGTGCCAGGACCCCAGGATCATGGCCTGAGCCAAAGGCAAACGCTTAACCGACTGAGCCACCCAGGCACCCCTAGCCTTTAAACCTTTTTATAGAATACTTGGCATTCCTTTTCTTATTTTTTTATTTTACTTTATTTTTTTTAAGATTTAAGATTCCCACAGGCTGGTTTTAGATTGACACACACAGAGAGAGGGAGAGAGAGAGAGACAGTGAGAGAGGGAACACAGGCAGGGGGAGTGGGAAAGGGAGAAGCAGGCTTCCTGCTGAGCAGGGAGCCTGATGCGGAGCTTGATCCCAGGACCCTGGGATCATGACCTGAGCTGAAGGCAGATGCTTAACCACTGAGCCACCCAGGCACCCCGGCTTTCCTTTTTTTTAAAAAAGGGGTTGTTTTAGGATAAAGATGCCAAAGGTAGCTGGGTTTATTGGACCAACCCTTTCATTTTATGAGATCTGTTTTTACATAAATGTGAATGGCCACTGTTCAGATCCCAGCTTAAACATCACTTCTGTAGTATATCCTGCTTTGAATTCCCAGGCTATATCAGTTTTCCTTACTACATGTTCTCATAGCATCCTGAACTTTGCCTTTCTAGCACTTTTCTCAATTTGTAATTCTCTGGGTGATAATCTTTTTTATGAACAAAGCTCCTTTAGAGGAGAGAGACCATGTGTTTTCTGCTTTCACTATTTTCCTAGTGCCCAGCACAGTGTCCAGCATAAAGTAGGCCCTTAGTACTTATTTGTTGAGTGAATGACTGGATAAAGTATCAGTGTCCATCTATGCCATACTTTTAATTAATTAATTAATTAATTAATTAATTAATTAAAGTAGGCTCCACGCTGACATGGAGCCCAACACAGGGCTTGAACTCACGACCCTGAGATCAAGACCTGAGCTGAGATCAAGAGTGGATGCTTAACTGACTGAGCTACTCAGGCGCCTCATATGTCATACTTCTAAAAAGATCTTCACGAGCTAAAGAACCTATTTAATTTTGGGCTTCTAAGTAATGGGTATTTTTAGTGGCTCACATCTTTGTAAAGACATTTTAAAATTATTGTTAGTAGGTAACAAATTTAGCTTTCTTACAACTGGGAAATTGTATAGCAAGAGACCATGAAGTAATAGAAAGTAACTAAGTGACACATTACTTTTGATCTGTTTCTATCAAACCATGTTACCTACCAAATCTATGTACTAACAGATAACTTTTAAAAACTATACTTAGAACTACTTAACATTAAAGAGACATTTTTCCCCCTCCCATCTTAAGATTCTGGGACACAAATGTGTTGCCCAGAGATGTTATTGAAGCAATTCCTACCATAGAAGGGAGAGGAGTAGAATTAGATGGCTTCCAAGGCCTTTTCACAGCTCTTAAGGTTGTAGGAGTCTGTGCTCAATAGTTTTTTATGAAAATAAATCCATCTTTCTACTGGGAAGACGTCTTCATGTCTTGGATTCATTGCCTACTCATTGAA